CTTAGATTTTAATTCAGCAGCAACTGCAGCTGTTCTTGCTGCTGCACGTTTTCTGTTGTTTTTACGCCACTGTTTGGCCATAACTTTTGACGAAAAAAAAACCTAAGTAAGATATATGAGAAAAGAGTTAGAATGAAAGTGAGCGAATGAATGTGTGCTGGTTAGTATCTAAATCTCAAATGAAAGCTTAACAATTGATGACTTTGTGTTGTCAAGTTGAGGTGTATCGTTGTGAAGGGTGGGTGTATCGTTGTCAAGGGTGGGTGTATCGTTGTCAAGGGGGGGCGTGGTCAAGGTAATGCATGGGTCAAAACACGGAGATCGTGCTGCCACAAGCGCGAAATTCAAATTTTGATTTAATCAAACGGCAGGAAGCGAGTGGAAGTGTCTTGCATTGTAACACATCCCTAAAGAATTATATATTTAAAGAAAGGTTTTTATCAGAATAGCTACCAGTTACTATTTGTTTTCTTGTGGAGTAAAATATCAAAAATTTCCATATTAATTCTTGCTTTTACTAAATACAGTGTATGTACTTGTATACGAGTAACAAAAGTAAAGTGGATCTTTCTGTATAAAGAACAGTGGAATAGCACCCTGGTACTACTGGTTTACGATATTTTCTAATATTACACCGAATATTAATCATCTCTAACCTAACTCAATACAATGAATCTTTAAAAGTTATAAAAGTTACATCAAATTCGATCTAATAATCATCTAAATGAACTCAAAATGAACGTTATTCTGAATCAGTTCGATAATCTGAAAAAACGATAAGTAGAATTATTTCCTTAAGTGACAAAACCGCATAAATTATTACCTAATACATATTAAGTTTAAGTGTGATGTAACGTAAACATTTTACATGAAAATTATTAGGGGTTGAATTTAGTTTGAATAGAGTTCAATCGGACGATTATTTCACCTTCAATGGTTATCAGAATTAGTTAATTTAAAGCACAATTAGATTATTTTTAATAGTTAGCCTTCACTGGCTATTTTGATATTGGAAAAGGGGTAAAATTCAGTCTTCACTGACTAAATTATATTTCACTGAGTTAATTGATCAGTCTTCACTCACTAATCAATTAACGGCTAATTTTCGGTCTTCACTGACCTTTAGACTTTTTATTCACAATGAGATTTAACTTTGTTTAATCAATAGATTAATTTATTTTTATAATTCAATTTAGGGTCACAATAAAGTTAACAGGTAAATTTTACTTAGGTTGATCTTAACAATCAACCAAACACATTAGTTGAACTTCATTGATCAACTAATGGTTGTTAATAATGAAAACATTTCTCAGTATTTATTATAATTTTTATCTCTTGGTAAATCTTCATTAAGTGTTTTTTTTATTCTGGTTAGATTTTCTAATTAGATTTTTATCTTTGACCATTTTCAATACTTGAGAATATTACTCAATATTACTACATGTGAAAACAAAATCTAATCATGTTCAATTGATTAGATCACATCTTACTCAGTTAATTTTTTATCATTCATTTGCTTAAAAACATATCAAAATATCTTTTCTCTTTTTAAAAAAAATATTCACAGACATCTTAAATTAATAGATTCAAACCAAGCAATTTGCTATTATCTCTTCAATATAAAAAATCTCTTATTATAATTAACCAAATAATTAACAATAGTTCACCTTGATTAAACTAAATAACAATAATCAATACAAATCATATTTATAAAGTTATACAATGAATGCAAATATGAATTTCTTCACTTAGTGTTCATCAATTAATGTTTTATTTTCAAAGTAATTAGCGAATTCTCCATCATATAGCATTTAACCATTATCGATTGAGAAACAATAGCAAAGGAAACTCTCAAATCTCAAACACTTATAAAAACTCAAAATATTATAAAAAAATTATACAAGATTTTCAACTCAACAAAAACCAAATTTTATCGTATATCTTATCGCTCTCACCCTTCTCATTTTGTGTGAAGAAACTCCTTACTTTATCATTATAACCATAATTGGTTACCGATAAATTTAGAACATCTAATTATACTCATTATTTGCGTAAACATCTTGAAAACAAATTTACTGCCAATTGGCAATGCGAGTCAGTTTATTCAAACTACTGGAAGTAACCTCCGATGGGAAATTTTAATCTAATCGGTTTGTTACTGTGGTGAGTTAAAATTAGTTTGTTTCAATTTTTGGTTTTCATCCAATGGCTATAAAAGGAATATAACTATAACCCTAAATGTTTTCATCAAAACAATCCGAACAATTTACTAGTATGAATTACCCTATTCATATCCCATACTTTACTGGAAAAAATAATGATGATGTTATCAAATGGTTCGATGACTTGGAGATTGGTGCACAGAACAATGGATGGAATTCAGATCAAATGTTCATAAGCGTTACAACCTTACGTACCTTACGTACGTAAGACGTACAGCACGGAGTTGATTTAGCTTTATCAATGGTAAATTTACTCCTGAAGATGAACGACCTAAAAACTACAACAGTTTAAAAGAGTCGATGATACGAGATTTATGTCCATATGATTTTCGTTCTCAATTATCTCAACAACTCCATAACGCTACTCAACAACCAGGTCAATCAACATCGTCATTTATTTATGAAATCTTTGAGCTATGCCAACGAATAGATGAGAATATACCGGAGATGATTATTCTGAGCATCATTAAGGAAAAGTTACTTACACAAATAAAATATGGAATCGCTTTGCAAAACCCACAATCTCTACAACAACTATTGGAATCAGCAAGATTAGCTGAAAGAGCTATGCTCTCTTGTAACAATCCATTCGTCATGCAAAAGGAAAATGCAAATCCTAGCATAAACGATACGACATTGAATCTTCAAAAGTCCATCGAACAATTAGCAAAGAGAATTGAGAACTTATCTACGCATCAGATGATTTGTACTTATTGCAATAGATCAGATCATACCGAACTGAATTGTTGACGTAAACTACGATCCATATTAGGGCTTAATACTATTTATCCATCAACAGCTAATCAACCATACGCATTACCCATTCATTACGATCAACATAGTACTCAACACACAAACAATCAACAATGTGAAAGAGATTATTATGACGATGATCATTACATGGCTGATTCAACTCAGACTGATTATTCACTTCCACGGAGTGGAAGGTCCAGAACCCCGGAGACAGGAAATGATATCAATGAAGACAAACGTATAAAAAGTAAATCGATTCACCAATCAAAACAATCACCCACCCCAAATAGAAAATCAAAACAGGTAAAAATGGTAATCCAAACTTCTGCTCCTAGTGATACGGACGATAATGGACATTTCGCTGAAAATAATACTATATTTAGTTTTGCAATCATGAATGGCAATGACTCAACAGATGAAAGTTTAATCCTTGATGATGATCCACCCTAGGTGTTAATGCCAAAAATTCAATACACAATAACTGTCTTGTCTACCCAATAAACACAGATGATCGACCGTCGAATCAAACAATCATCTGATCAACAAAATAAATCTGAGAACGGAACGGAAAAGTTGGTCGACAAATTCAAGCTTCATGAATCTCAAACTCAATCGTATAAGAAGCAAGAAAAACAACCCGTGATGGAAAAACAGCCTTGCATTCGACGAACAATCAATCAATCGATTTATATCATCATGATCCTTATGATACAATTACTTCTCACCGTTTATCAAAAACACGGCACAGATCTAATATGGAAAAACGTCGACCACAATTTCTTCATTAAGAACATATTACGATTTATTAATCAAAATCCTCGAGATTTGGACTTGACCAGTGGAATGGTCACCATAAGACCGAGAAGATGTTGACAAATAAATGACGTAGCAACAACTCGTCTCTGGTAAAGAGACGAGTTGTAAACAAATCTAAAAATAAAGAAGATGAAGATGAAGATGAAGATGAAGATGAAGATAATAATTATTTATAATACGAAGTAAACTAAATGTATCAATCAGTTGGGATGAATTTCCCCTTCTCTTGTCTTTGAAGTCAATAAAATTATGTTCTAATAACAAAAGTGATCTGATCTTTAATACTATTACTGATAAAAGTTCAACAACATGAATGAATGATTGAAATTTAATCATTCAAGTTTAAAGTTTCAAACTTTAAACATTGTAGTGTAAGTTACAAACACTGTTTGGTTGATTTTGCTAATTATACAGCCAAAGACTTTGAGTTTGCATGCACTTTTTAAATCATTCACGCAGGTAAAGATAATCAATTAGAGATAAAGTTAACCCAGAGATATGATGTTAAGTTTGTCCACTAATTTAAGTGATTTAGTCTTAAAATGGTCAATTGATTAGATATCAAAAGTTATCTTTACTTGCTTATCATTAACTGCTTGAATGATTCAAAAAGTAGGTGCAAACGCAAAGTCTTTGGCTGTATAATTTTTGGTTTTTATTAACAACAATTGGAGAAAAGTTAACAAAGTTTACTCTCAGTTAACAAATGTAAATTTTTATCAAATGAACGTCGTTTAAAATATTTATTGAAAAAGTATTTGTCATAGATTTTATGAAAATAAAGGAGAGAGAAAAAAAGATCGACTGCTTGCTCTAGATCAATTCAGCTCAGGTTTTAGACTACTGAAGTCCCCCCAGGTTTCAATCAATTCAAAGAAGATAATTATCTAATTAATATTGGTTTTTTCTTGTATACGATAAGCAAACTATCAATATTTAATTTTATTTTGATGAAAGGAATTTGAGTTTAATTCGATCAGAAGCAATGCTACAATTATTTAATAATTGTCCTCAAACGTTTGCCGAGTACTGTAGTACGAGTTCATGTTGAAGAGATTCATTCAGATAATCATTGATTATGTGTACAAATCATTTAAGTTGATTGCATTGAGATAACTTGAGAATCTAAATGAAATATAATCTGAACTTTCTGAAGATTTGATGAATAAGATTTTATTGATTTGAATTCTTAACTTTTTCGCTCTAAAGTGTCCCCTTATTACAGAATTTGGATGAGGAATTTGTCTCAAGGATCGTGGATGTCATTGAGCTGGTATTGTAACTGATTTTTTCAATTATTAATAAATCTCATCTCAAATCATAATAATTATGCATGAAACTCAAAAGATTGATTTCATGAAATTCATAGTTATTTACTATTTCGGATTACTATGAATTTGAGCAAAAAAGAAATTCTGATTCAAAAGATTCCCTGATAATTAAATTGATTTCTTTTTTTCCCTCCCTTACTTCCACCACTGAACATAAAATATAAAGAGAGAATTTCCTGAAGGAAATTATATATGTCGTCAGGGTTACCATGGTGATTCGTTTTACATCATTGCGAATGGCTCCGTTCGGGTAACTCAGGAGATTCTGATGAATAATAATCTCGATTCGAAGGAGGAAAGGATCTTAAGAACACTTAAGAAGGGTGACTATTTTGGTGAACAGGCTCTTCTCTCAGGTAAGACAATAAAATTCATTGGTAAAGAAAAACGAGATTATCTGATTAAGATACAATTGATTATTTGTCCTTTAATTTTCTAATTTTTTTTATAAATTATATTCAGGAGGAAATCTACGAACTGCTAATGTCATTTCAGAAGAATGTGAATGTTTGGTTCTCGACCGTAATAGTTTCTTTTCACTTGTTGGCGATCTGAATGAACTCAGGTTAGTGTTTTGTTTATAAAGGTAATTCGATTAAATGAAATTGACTGGGAAAAAAGAGAAATGAGAGAAACTGAAACCGGAAGCGCACGTTTACCGGAAACCATAATATTCCCGCTGGTGATCATAGAATAACAATAAACTAATTCTAATAATATTCCAAAGGGAATCGACCGGAATTGATAATATTTTTGTCATAATAGTCGAATTTTTTTGTCCCTGATTCTGATTCTGACGTAAAGATAACATTATGACAATACAGTTAACTATTTTTTTTTGTTTCTTTTTTTTGTCGTATTTCATTTTTTCTGTTATAGAGACAAACGATATAATACAAATGATGATTTATCATCATCACTGAGAGAATCGTCATTATCGTCACCAGATCCTTCAACATCATCTTCATTCATTGAAGATGATGATAAAATCGGTTCATTAGGTACAATTCAATTGGATCATCTTGTAATTATATCTACTCTTGGTATTGGTGGTTTTGGTAAAGTTGATTTAGTGAGATTATCAGCTGATCCAGCAAAGGTATTCGCCCTTAAATCTTGCTCGAAAGCTTTTATTAAATCGACGCAACAACAAGATCACATCATTAATGAAAAAGTAGTAAGTCTATTTATCATTTTAATACGAAAACAATGATAATGAACCTAATTCAATATCTGTATCATTGTGATGCTGATGAACATGATGATTTACATGTATTTAGCTTTGAAAACAATAGAGAAACAAAATCATCGAGTTAAATTGAATTGACTGTTAGTTCTTGATGAAAGTGAAATGTGAATGATATCCGATGATGATGATGATGATGTTATCATCCCACTCTCACTGACATGAAATCAACTTCGAAATCCGTTTAAATGCTAATTAAATGTTTCTATTCATAGAAGTTCATTCGGAAATTGCTTTCACTGTTACTGTTTGTTTCTGAATAAATTATATCGACATGAGTCTTACATCATTTCTATCAACCAATTATTAATTTTAGAGAAAGTTTCAAATTTAATTTATGTTCTGTTATCTTATTGTGGTTTCATCTCAAAATGATTAAATATTCATTTAGGTTGGTCAAGGGCTTGTGGTCAATGGTTTTTAGGATGATTTATAGTGAGAACAATTTTTATATCATAAGATGAAGTAATTTACATTCGATCAGGAATAAATTATGGAAAATATCACCCTGATTCTTGACCGAGAATCCATTCTTTTCGTTTATCTTCTGAAATTTGAAACCTATTTATAGAAATACGATGCTAATGATCAATCTCATGATGATAATATTTGAACTAACACAGCATTTGAATATCGGAACACTGAAAGGTGGAAAGATGATTTAATCAAATTACTTTTATTAGTTGAATATGACAAAATCACTTTTACTTTCTAATTTTGCAATCAAACTTTTAATTGGTAAAAACAAAACTGCAATTAATTTTAAATTGAATTATTAATATAAGGATTTTATCATTAGCTGTTAATTATAATTGATTATAATCCTGATTGTGATATTAATATTTATAACTCTGATCTTGATCGAAATTATAACAATTATGTTAATCATAGTAGTTTTGATGAATTTATCCTGAGGACTAATTTCCAATATAAAATGAATGGATATTGATCCAAAGGTGGATTGATTCAATTTCCTTATAAATTTTGGTAATAAAAAGCCAATAAAATGAAATGAAAATTGATCAAGATGACAAGTGAAAATCTAATGAAGGGGTTACCATGAAATCACGAAGATTAATAATAATGATTGAACGGAGATAAAATGAAAAAGGAAAAAATTGACAAGTGATTTTTTTAAATGATTAGTTGATTAGATTCTGAGTGAAATTTGATTGTTATCAGGGAAGATTAAGGACAGTGGATAAAGATGAAGATGAAAAAGTAGAGAAGATAACAAAGGAAATGATGAAAAAATAAGCTGAAGATAATGATGATTCCATATACTGTTATTCAGTTGTCAGAATGTGACAACAACTCTGTCAACTGTTGATTAAAGATCAAAAGATGAGCGCAGATAATCAAAGACTTATCACCATTATCATGTTAAGAGATGAACAAGATAAAGATGACGATCATCATGATGATGGTGAAAGTAACGATTTAAAGTAAATCTCATCAAGTGAAAAGCATCTGATGATTTTCACCTTGATTTTTGGACTTTCGATGGAACTTGTCTTCGAGAAATTAGTCTTTCTTTCGTGATAACTGTTAGTCTTTTTTACTCTTTGATTCTCATCCTTCTTCCTTCTTTCGATGTCTCATCTTATATCTAACCTTTTGCTCTTATCACCTTATCACAAGGGACCGAGTTTCCAATCAACCAGATAATTGTTTTTGTCTATGTAGAGTGATAATATACTGAGAATGTAGTTTTCAGCTTCATGGAGCTGTGATAATCCCTGAGTAACTGAATATTCGTTGAACCATTTCCAGTTTCGATGCATCTCAAGTGTTACTGTTGATGTTGGTTTGTTTTCTCTTGTTCAATGTTGAAATTACCTCTCATGATGTTCAAAGCCCGAAATGTTATCGGTATTATTGTAAGAACCCATTAGTTTCAGGGCAATTGTTTTCATCTCTTGCTCTTATTATCGTCATTATCATTTACTACTTCCTACAATGTATATTGATGCTCTTCGGATTAAAGTCACAAGATTTAATCCAATGAACCTTATCAAACCTCTCACAAGATTAAATAACTTTATATCATTGAAATACTAATGATATCCATTATCATTATCATTGATTAAAATACTGGCATCTGATAAGTCATAATCATTAATTATCATTCAGATTACAATTTAGACTCTCGAGATGCTTGAAAAGTAACATGTAAATGATTGTGAATCAGAATACAAATTAGATACAATTTTCAAATGATCAACAGTTAATTGGTTGAATATTAATATGTTTTTTTTTGTAAACTGATTATCAATTGGATTATTAGTCTTCTTGATAAATTGTTTGTGAATTTATTTCATTGCCATGTGATCATTAATATTAAACATTCATCATGATCGTTTGCTTAATATTGAATGAAAACAAGAATTGATAATATAAATTAATCTGATTATCTTTTAATGGTTTTAAGAGATTGATATTCTTTTATAATATTTAAATGTTGACAAATGATTTTGATGATTATATTGGAGCATTTAAATCATTACCATGTTAATGATCATTTTTTTTTCTCTACCCTCATGGTTTTTGCTTCCAACAAATAGAACAAAATAATTGAAGCATAATCAATTATCTGAATGTTCAGTTTTCTTTTTTCCATGAGAATCATCAACTCATCTCACCATCATGATAACGATGATTATGTTGATGCTATTTTCATCATCTTCCAGTTTCTCTCTAATTCCCCTTCTATTATTATCGATAAATAGGTTCAGCAAATTGCTTCTCAACATCAATTTGTGGTTAAATTATATCGAACTTTCAAAGATGAACATTTTTTATATTTTCTCATGGAAGCAGCACTCGGAGGTGAACTTTGGACACTTCTTAAGAAAACGTAAGAAAGACAAGCCAATTTTCACTCGAACATGAAGTTAATACTTATGAACATTGACAGAGTTCTAACAATAGATTTCAACAGAATCACTTAAAAGTGATACGACTCATTGATCATGTGAAATTCATCTCAAAATTTATTGTTAATATTTGTCGAAAAAAAGTAAAATTTTGGTATGAAAATGATTAAAAATTCACTTGAATAATTATTTTTAGTCTATTGCCTGAGGAATCATGATCAATCTCTCGTTCAATTCAATTGTATCTGGTGTTCGATTCTGTTTGTAGACTTGATGACAAAAGAGCTTTTCATTCAATCGACATGAAGAGTAACAATTGATTCAATTATTTTTCTATTCCATTTTCAGGGGTCGTTTCAGCGAAATAACTTCACGATTTTACTTGGGATGTGTTATTGAGGCTCTTCAATTCCTTCATTCTCAGAAGATAATCTATCGTGACTTGAAACCAGAAAACTGTTTGTTAGATTCAACTGGTTACTTGAAAATAACAGATTTCGGTTTTTCGAAGGTGAGAAGTGGCCAGATGATTGAGTAAAAGAATCAGTTTATTAATAATAACAGGAAAAGATGAACAAAAAGTAATCATGATAAAATGAATCAATTATTGAAATTGTATCTTATTTATGTTCATCAATAATCCACGCGGAGGTCAAACAATATGATCAATGTTTTATTAATCAAAATCATTTCCATCATCTAGATATTGACTCCTGGTATAAAAACTTGGACATTCTGTGGGACACCAGAATATGCAGCTCCTGAGATTATATTGAATCGAGGTCATGATAAATCAGTTGATTTCTGGACAATTGGAATCCTTTTGTATGAACTTATAACAGGAGTGTAAGTAAAGAAACATAATAATAACAATAATAAGTTGAATCCAAGTGACATGTAATAAGCTTAATGATATTAACAACGATGAGAGATGATAAATATTTACATCAACTATTATAACCGTCAAAATGCCATTACCATGTAATCAGGATGGAAAATTATCACTTTAACTGAGTCGATCTGGGGAACAGACAAAATGATATAATAGTAATTTGTTGGTATGAGATTAAGATTATTAGAGTTCTCGTGGAAAAGGATTAATCTTCTAAGCTATTTATCATTGTTACGAATTTGGATCAAGAATTAAATTAATATGAAAACTATTTCTCTCCATGAATCAATTGATTCGATTCTTTTCTTATTCTTATCCTTAGACCTCCATTCCAATCATCTGATCCATTGAAAACTTATAACATTATCCTGAGAGGATTCGATGATTTCTATTTCGATAAAAAGTTATTCTCTACTAATTGTATCAACTTAATCCGCCGATTGTGTCGAGAAAGTCCTTGTGAAAGAATTGGTGTTCAAAAGAATGGAATTGCTGATCTCAAGGTAATTTAATCAACAGAATAAATTTCTTCTGATTAATTATTAATATGAATGTTGATTTCTTTCAAAATTTCTTTTAAATCTCATGGATCAAGTTATCACTTTATTCAGATAATCAGATGAAAATAGAATTTGAATAATCTGTTGACTTTCAGTTAAACGATAACAAGTGATTATTGTGTAGCAATAAATTTCGTCTTATGAATATTAATATTACCCAAGATGTTTCATTAATCCTTCACTATTAATTGTTCTAATTGCCTTCTATAAATAGAAACATAAATTTTTCGCTGGATTTGATTGGGATGCTCTGGTTAATCGAGCAATTAAACCTCCCATTGTACCAATTCTGTCTGGTCCGACGGATACACGATACTTTGACTTGAATCCAGTAAGTTACATCCAATTGAGATCAAATGATCAATTTGATTAATGATCATTATCCACACAATTATATCATTGATATTTTATCAATCGTGTTAATGACGTATTGCAATTAATGATTTGTTCACTTCTCATTAATTAGATTGATCTTTCAATGAGAGTCCAATTCGATGAGGATGTTCAACAATCAATGAAAAACTCCAAAGATGAGTCATTGGAAGATTGGGAGATTGCTTTTTGAATCAATTCTATTCCTTAAATCAATTTCCATGATTAACCAACAGAATAATAATTGATTGTCCTTTTATCTCAACGGTGTTACCTTATAACGAATAAACAATAATGTTAATTTGAACCAATAAGAAACAAGCATTTGTTATTGAATTAGATTAAAGCTGTAATTCTAACAAGTTGACACAATTTGTTGCCAGACAATCAATGAAACTATGCATGCATATCATGGTAATTACGAGTAACTGAAACTAAGAATCAACAAAAAAAATGAAGTTACCTGAATGATCACTAAAGTTATCAATTAAATTCACAACATGCTGTCATGGCAACTCGAATATGATAAAGTCTATTGAACTATGGCTCATTAAGTTCAATAGTTTCATGGTGTTTATAGTGATAATCATCATCATCTTTCAGTGTTAGTGTTGACCAAGAAGTGAATCGTTTAATCAAAAAATGGATTCAATGAGCGCAAAGTGTTGAAAGTAATTTTTTCACCTCCAAGGCAAAGTTAACAAAAAACTTTTCATGATGAAGTTGAAACGATAAAGATGAAAATTGAATGAATTTTGTTGATGGAGTAAAACAACAGGAAAAGATTAGGAAAGTACAAAGATAAATGATAACAAAGATGATAAGAGGAAAAAGGAAATTAATCAGCGAAGTAAAATTTCCCGTTAAACTGTAATACGATGATGATGATTACAAATCTTGATGATATTCACCTAAGAGCAATAAATTATCATGATGATAATAATAGTAATAACAGTCAGATTATAATAATAGTTGAGATGAATTGAATCAGTGGTTTTTTCATGAAAATAAAGGCGATGAATATTTGGTGAAAACCCTCTGAATATATTACGATCTACTATTTCAACTCATTCAGGTGATAATAGAACAGGATTTCGTAAATAAAAACTCAATATACCGCCGAGTTCACATTATTCTGAATGAAAATGGAGATAAAATTCTAGAGCCACCTGAATCTCTATTACCTTTCTTGACCCGAGTAATATCAATTCCTTGGTTTCTATTTTCTCTCTCGTTTTTCATCATCTTTCTGGTTCAAAACTCGTTCACTTCATTTCCGTTTCCTTTTCAGTCTCAAACTCTAAACTTTTCATCATCTTTCGTTGATTCTGTCATTAGTAATTTAAGTTACTCTGAGGTTCAAATTGTCATCACCATAATCAATTGAATAACATGGTGTTGATATTTTGTTCATTGTTCTTTTTGAATAAAATTGTCCAGATAAAAGTTTTGTCATGATTCATTTTCATGTTGAATAAACGGATAAGAATAACAATTATTATGGTTTTTAATGTTCAATCTATTTGACAATCAATTTTCCCAAACGAAATCAACTTAAAATCCTAAAGAAAACAGTGAAATCGAATCCGTTATGTTGATGTCACATAGAACATGTCAAAGTGAATTAGCAATGATAGAATCCAATTTTAAGTTAATTGTAACTGTAAGAAAAAAAAGTTATAATAAATTCTATCAAATCGATCATCTTTTTTTCACAATTTTCTGTGATTCTTTTTCTCATTTTTCTATCAACATCACCATGAGCTGAGTTATCACCGACTAGTTCAGTTCATTGAATTGTCACATTGTTCATGTCAAACAATAAACTGTAAATTTAATTGATTGTAATTCCCTCTCATGTTAGCTGATTAGGGTTTTCAAGTAATTTAATAGTAAATTAACCATAGTCGATTGATCAAATTAATCACAACTAATTACAATAATATTGTTCAGGAAAAGTCAGGAAATATTAATCATGTATAGTTACACAGAGTTAACTCTCAGGGTGAAAATATTAATAAAAGAATCTGATTTGATCAGAACTAAATTGTAGCTCAATGGGAATCGAGTAAATTATTTTCAACTGTTACATGATAAGATTATCTCAATCACGCAATGTAATCATTAACTAAACCACCTTGATGATATTTGATTGTTGAACAGATAGTTCAATCAATCAATCATCATTATCACTGATAATTACATAGATTATAGGAATTAATTTAATTAAATTGTTCAACTAGAATTAGAGTTAAAAGTGAGAGCACAGAGGTGATTAACTTTGCACGAGGGAATCATGTTAAGGTTTCATTTGTATAATTAACAAGATAATCAACTCATGGACAACATGTAATGATAATTAGCTTTGAAAATTACATAGACATTCAATCAGTTGAAAAAAGTTGATGAACCGTTTATGTCGTGATAATTTGAACCATGCTAACAAAAGATACTCATTGAATATCTATTGTGATACTAAATCAGGAATACTTTTCCATCTCTGATGAATGTAAGCACCAAATCCCAGGTAACTAGCGATTCAAATTCATCTACCATGTAAGGGTGTTGTTCATGATGATATTTTCTGTAGGAACTGAATGGTTCAAAAATTTAAGTTGTTCAATTAACTATTATTTCCATGCAAATATTAACAATTTAAATTGTAAATTGTAAACAGCTCATCAAGTTTTCATTATTAATACTATGATACTCATTCTGTTAGTAATTTTATTTTATAATTTAGCAAATTAACATTCATGGAGACTCAGTTTCATGAGATAATTTTGCAAGCTTGAATTTCACATGAAACAAGAGATTGAGATGCTGTTGGTTATATGGATCAATTCAAATGGAAATGACTCTCGATTTTAATATTAATACAAGTTTCATTATCCGGATATAATTTCGTCGAGAAACTAAAATGGTCACATATAAGCTCAATGAATTTCGAATGATATTTATTCGTTCTGAAGAAAACTCAGCCAATAGAGTGATGTCCATCTACTGATTCGAATCATTCTTCATTAATATTAATTGTTCAGCTCTAAATTTTTACTCTTTTACATGTTACTCAATGTAAAAGAATTTACATCATGATTGCACCTTCACCTTTATCACTTGATTAATTCCGGTTTTACATGGACTTTCCATTCTCATGAGGAATCGTATGTAAGGTTTGCAAAAAAGTTCCATGAGATAAATAAGGTTACATGGAGAAAAAAGAAAAGAAAAGTTTCATTCTCTTTCTTTATCCTCCAGCTTATTTCTTAAAAACGATGATTTTTCTAAATCAAATCTTGAGAATTACATGGAACTGGGAACATTTCTCTGAGTTATAATGAGATGGAAAGTTGAATGTGATTCAAGTTAATCCTCGAATCAAATAAAAAGATATCAACATCAGGGTAGAAATAAACGATTCTTTTGATATTAATAATGTCCACAGAGATTAATATTATCATCTATTGATGATAAGGTTATTTTTTCAGGTCGTTTCAATATAACAGTAAATTGTAACAAAGTAACAGAATAACAGTATACAAAAGTTATTACTGTTATCGAGTAAATAATAATAATCATCCAGAGATGATAAATAAAATGCGAAGAGAAATAAAAAATGAAAAATGGCTCATAAAGAAAATAGATTCTTCATTACTATTAGTTTCGTTTCCGTTTCCTTTTCATGTTGCTGTTAATCTCAACTGACCATGAGATATTATCTAATCACATTTCACTTTCTTTATTATCTTTCCCACTTTAACCATCATCATTTGTCTGTCTTTCTTTCATCCATTTTTCTTCATAGTTTCGGAACAATAACATTTCAAAATATCATCTGATATCTCACACAGTCTACATGATACAATTCAGTAGAAACCTCAGTTCTCCAGTATTAGATGTTCATGATTATAGTGATGAAAATGATGATAGTTTTCTTACCCTGAATTCCATTAGTTCAATGGGTCAACTTTTATTAAACCGAAAAACGAGATTCAAGTCAACTTTCCTTCCCTTTTGAGCTGAAATGTTATCAAATTATAACGATAATGATGATATTGATGATAAACTTACATTCCCTTCATGATAAATTATCCTAATCATTTTAACAGATCTTTCAAAGTTAAACTCGAAAACCGTATTGTTAATATTATGTTTTTTCATTTGCATTTAACGATTTTTCGGATTTTCATCAAATGTTGACTTTCGAGTGGGTCTATTAAAGAATCATGAACTCAAGCTACATTGGGATCGAAACTTTTTTCCAACATTCAGTATTCATTATTCCCTCAAGATTTTGATGATAACTTTGAGATGACCTCTCAGTCTCTTAAAATGAAATGACCATTGAACACAAATTTAGATTGACTAGAATAGTAGCGAAAATAAATCAATCGAATTAATCATTAAAAAATCGATCGAAGATTAAATATTACGATAGAAAATAGAGCAACAAGACCTGGAGAGAGATGTCGAAAGACTCTACGATTTATACTGAGTAAAAAATTCTTTTCCAATTTCCATCATCTACCTGATTAATATTATCGTGATGGTGCAAGAATTGTAATCATCTTTTTATACCCAATCACTTATTACTTGTTAACAATTATATTTTATTAACAGTGACGCAGAAAATTATCAAAGGAAACAATAAATATCATTAATATAAATTACACAGAATTCATGATTCAAATGTTTGCATCTATTAGTTTGAGGCGCATGAAATTCAGCTGAAAATTAATTCTCATGATAATCGAATGACAACAATTTACTCCATGTGACGACAAGAACATTGTTAAAATTCTGTCAACACTTTCATCTATTGTTCTTTTACTCAGGTGAATTATAAGAATTATTAACAGAGAGAAAGAAAGAAAGAAAGAAAGAAAGAAAGAAAGAAAGAAAGAAAGAAAGAAAGAAAGAAAGAAAGAAAGAAAGAAAGAAAGAAAGAAAGAAAGAAAGAGAGAGAGAGAGAGAGAGAGAGATTCACCATGTGATCAAGGGATAAATAACAATCTTTTCTGGGTTATTAGTCTGTTGTGTTTGACAATCAATAGATTCTGATTCATGTTGATAGAAAATGATTCATATCTGAATCTGTTGGAACAGTTTTGCATTCATCTCGTTGAGAAATGATTGAAGCTAATTAGCTTGATTCCAATGACACTGACACGCATTTTGAATTCCGATTTGTTTCTTAAAACTATTAATACTTGTGGTGATAGAAATGAATTTAACAAAATTGATACTTATTATTTATTAAGATGTTGATAATTGAAAATGAAACAATCAAATCAATTGAATTTCTGTTAACATGATCATAATTCTGGAACTGATGTTTACGAGAGCGAAAGTTGAATTGATATCAAATGGAAAATGAATGTACCTGGCATGAAGCCATTCCATAGATTAGTAAACAATGGAGTTTCCTCTTTTATATCAGTTCTCTTTCATCTTTTCACTTTTATCTTCATCATCTCGTGTGAGAAGTTAATTTAAATAGTCAAGTGTCATCGGAATGAGAAGCGAAAAGAATCAACATTGAAGAAAATGATAAAAGATGATAAGTGTTACTTGAAAAGAAAAAAGTTCCTAGTGATTAGCTTCCTATTCATCTGATTTAGTTTATTATTAGACGATTTTTCGTCATCTTTTTTATTACCATCAACATGTACTAGTACATTTTGCTCATCGGTTTGCAATTGAAATTGAGTATAACTTGCCTCTCACAAGAAAATGGATCCTAGATGATTATCGTTAATGTTGATTCTTAACTCTACTCTTTACCAATGTCAACCCTCGTAACAAGGTACAGACCTTAATCTTTGTTTACTTGTGTTATCAATAAGTAAAACCAATTATCTGAAGACTCATTAGTTTTTCATGAGCTATTATCTAACTATAATCATCTCATGAAATGCAGAGAATGCAGTTTCTTATTCCCATTTGTTACAATGTATTCGTTGGAGTTTTCAATTTGAAACAAACTGTTACCCTCAATTCTAGATGATAATTTGAGAGCTCATTCTAACCTAGATAATGATGATTATATGTGACATGATATCAAATTTTCGTCTACTGTTGTAAGAACATTGATTATATTGACATCACCTTAATTCGGTTTGGTGGGAATTCATCTCCATGTTACTAATAGTATTTCCACTTCTGTCTCATTTCACTTTTCGTTCCTCCCTTTCATCTTCATTCTCGCTCTCGTGTTACTGTTATTCTTTGCCTTCAAGTTATCGTTTTCTGTCTTCTTTCTATTGTCATTTTTTTCTGTCTTCAACTTTAGTGAGCTGAGAACTTGCATGGTTTGCTCACTCATCTTCCACCACGAGACAGAATAAGAGAAAGAGAAACTGTTCAGAATCTCGATGCAATCATTTTTCAATCAAATCAACCTTTAGCTCAACCCAATCAACTTCCAACAGACTGATCTTGAAATACTCAGAGTCATTTCCTGATTATCTCAATAAAGTTCAGATCCAAGAGTCACATGAAGTATGATGAAAGAGAAACCAAAGTGAAAAAATCTTTCACTTTTTTCTCTTCTTTCTCAGATGAAGATAAACTTTCTGAGGAAAGTGAACAATCGATATTTAAAGTTTATTAACTTTTGGTGTCGTTTTTATCCAAATATTAGAATCCAGATAGAAGTGAAATATGATCACGATATTGAGAATGAGAATCATCTTCAGAAGGAAAAACATGATTGATGCAAATGTTATTTGATACAGATAAGATTTCGCTCGATCAGCTTAGTTTGATAAGCTTATGTGCTTTTGTTCAGAGAAATTACCAAGGGGAATTCTGATGGATTCCATGAGTTTCATGAATAAATCGTTTTTGGTTTATCATATTATTCAATCAACACCACAACAAAGAATGTTTATTCCAGAAAAAAGAAAATAATACTCACCAAATCATGGAAAAACATCTTCGGGCCACGAATGATATTAGATCACTATTAGGTCAAAGACTATGAATCCAATGCTCGTTAAATTGGTCCCGATGCTGAAGATCCCAAAAACGATAACATCTGAGAAACACTTTGGACGATTCTCTCTGTCCTTCCGATTAAATTCCTTGCAGGTCATGTTCAGAATTGAACTTAAAGCGATTTCATCCATTACATTTTTAGGTCAGATTTGAACTGCACGACGAATGGACAATGGCATTAATGTAAAACGAGTACACAGGAAATAACAAACCTTCAAATTTCAAGGTTAAAAGGTTACAAAAAAAGGTCACCTGAACTTCTGGGCTCCACCAATCGATTTCTTAGTAGTTTTCGATCTAATTCGAATTCCATTTCAGTAGCTATTAATCTTTCAAGAAAACGAAGTTCATTAAGCGTATTTAATTTAGTCCTCACAACACAAAAGTTAAATTAATGAACATCAGCTGATAATTACATCGATTTATTTCGATATATTCATTGATTTCTAATGTGATTTACTCACTAGATGGTGACTGCTAGAGAGAGTGAGAGATTTGATTAGATTAAAATTTAATCATTAAATCATTTCCTTTGTAAAGTTAATCAACCCTTTCTACCTTTAAGACTCAAACGCTTCATTTGTTACCTCAAGTCCAGCAGAGTCCCAATCAACTCATAGAGCTTAAACTGACCACAAATTAGTATCCAAACGAACCTCAATTTGTCTCTTTCAACTTTCTAATTAATCACCAAAAGTTTCACTTCTATTGAGTTTTCCTTAATGGAGGGGATCCATCTCTTTGTCCTCGACAACCTTCAAGGTCAAAGGTAAGTGGAGACCTTTATTTATCCTCTTAACACTGGGTCAAGATGAGAGACTAACATTTATTGGAAAATTGTGATTTATTTGAATTTAAATTGAATTTTTTGAATCCTTTTTGATAAATTCAATTATTTTATGACAATTCATCTCAATGTGTAATTCAGACTTTTACTTTTGGCGCAATTGTCTTTTTCAAAGTGAATCTGTCACCCAGATTTTCATGGTTACTCATGCGAGATAATGTTTCAAGGTCACTGAGTGAATGCATTTCCATCCACACCAAATGTCTCTCAAAGTTATCATGACATTCAGTTAAATCGAGTCTGTCATATTTCATATTTGCTCATCACTGAACATCCATGGAACTGGTTATGTGTTGATAATGAAATGAACCTTTAATTAAACTTTAAAGGTCGAAGTGAGAAATTGAATAACAGGTAAACTCATGAATGTAAATTTTTGGTACCAAAAGAATAAAGAAAATTAAGATTATCAAATTTAATTGTGTAACTGTAAACGAGTAATTATTAATAGAATCACTTTTGATCATATTACCATTTGATTAAACGATAGCCAATTTTAAAAATTGAATATCAAGTCGAGTGCTGATTGATCAACACTAATTGGTAACAATTAATATTAATTACTAAATTAGTTTACATCTGTTTCATTTTGATAGTTAACGATGATAATTCAATTAACTGTTTCACATTGATGAGCTTCTACATTAAATTAATGGTTAATCATTTAAAGTAACATAAATTAATACAATTATCATCATGTCAACTGAATTTAATTGTGATCCTTGTGATCACATTGATACTGATTCAGTAGTAAAGAAATTAATTGCTGGTAAAAGTTTGTAATCACCGTTATAGCCTCATGTAATAATCATTATCATGATTAAGTATTGAAAGATTCTTGATTTTATTGATCAGAAATAGTAGAAAACATTAATTGTTGAACTAAATTAAAATCATTGAAATAGTTTAATTCAGATAAACTTTTCTTTCAAATGATTCCAATGAACCAACAACAATATAACAATTATCTTTACATGAATACACAGATAATCACTGTAATCATCTCAACTATTCATGTTTTTTTCTTAATCACAATCAGAATCTCAACTGTGAAGAGAAACTTTTCCCTGAATGAAAGTGAAGCTACAATGTAATTCAATCACATGGAATAGGAAAAGTTTCAAGATGAACAGTAATTATAATAATCAACTTATTCACTTTTTTAAACTTCAACTGAATTTCTAAAAAAACTAATGATCAAGTAAAGTACAAAATAATTGTATTAATAACCATGAATCGAATTAGAAAAAAAAGGAAACCATGATCATGATGAAGAGGGTGAAAAATACGTTAGGAAACTTTTACCAGAGATTGGAACTTTTGTTCGTCTAATATGAACAAAGATATTTCATATTCTTTTGAGTTCATTATTTGTTCAATTTTCTTTTAATTCATCATCAGAATTCACTTCACTTTGTCCTCTCTCATCTCCTGACACAGTTGATTGAGAAAATACTGTAAACATTGTCATCATTCAGAACTTTCTCTCTAATAACTGTGGTGTTCATTTTCAAATGAATACTTATCTTATTGATTTTCTCAGTACAATTGAATTTCTTATTCTGCTTGATATTATCGGTAAACTGATTATCAATTAATTATCAATGAGATTTTTTCTTATACATTATAATTAAAGTGTTGGGAGGATGATTAATATAATAGTAGCTTTCAAGTGGATGAGGTTAACTGAAGAGGACCAGAAAGTGAATTAACTTACAATGAATAACTGGTAACTGTGATTATACAATGTGACAAGTTGATTAATTTAGTTGGATCATTATCATGACTATGGTGACGATAATGATTCACATGATGTGGAATAACTGTTGAATTAGGATTAATAGTCAGAGCCAAATAAAAGGGTTCAATGGAAGGCTGAAATCTTCTGATTATTTATATAAAAACTATTATGTTGGTTTAAAGTTTTCTTACCTTTTCCTTACTTTTCAATGGGTTTTGCTGTACTTGAGATCAAAAGCAGAGAGAGAGAGAGAGAGAGAGAGAGAGAGAGAGAGAGAGCGATAGATGATCTTGTAATCTCATGAGCTATTACACTTTCATCATCATGTTGTCATGGACAATGAAGGGTCAGTTAGGGACAAAATATGCGATAAATAAGCCTGAATCAACTCAAGTTTTCCATGTTAATGATGACGATGATTATTTTGATTCCATTATTATCACTTCCCTTCATCAATCAAATCACAGATTTTTCCTTACTATTTATGACAGAAAAAGATTCTGAATAATAATGATCCAATTCATCACATTCCAATAACATAGTCAGTTTGTTATCCATCACTTACGAAAATTATTAAAAGATAAATCATCCAACTTGAACAAATTTCAATTAATATCACTAATATACAACCGATTACAAAGACAGCGATTCATTTTTATCATGTAAAATCAACCAGAACAAATTTTGCCGCCTTTCAGCTTTTGGATCATTTTCAAAGTAGTTGATCAGTTTGGATTAACAGTTTTCATAGGTGTCTGGCGAAAACTAGTCTCTTGATTCAATCGATTCAATCAATGAACAAAATTCCAAGTGATTGAATTAATTTACTCTAATTAGTGCTGACAAAATATGAGTGGGTGAAATGTTATTATCATTAGGAAGTACCATCATTATAAAAGTCACCGTCATAATTAATTCAATTAAATTTTCTATGTACTGAACTTTAGATTTAATTCATTTTCTATCATTCAGTTGTACATTGAAATAGATTGAAAATATTTTGAGAAAAGTTCTCATGTGATCCATTTGATTATCATGATAAATTGATTATTATTCACCTTAATATTATTAGTTGGAAACATCAGTTTAATAATTGGATTCTCAAACATTTCACAATTTCATTGAAATTGAATAACTAATAATAGAGTTTAATCTGGCTACTGGTTCAATGATTATTATGATTATTAATAATAACAACTTGATATTATCAACATGTTTCACCCTTTGGATTCATGGTGTTGATTCATTATGCTTATCGATAAAGCGAAAGAACCAAAAACTAATAACAAGTTACTTGAATCTTTCATGATTATGGTTGATCCTGAACTTTGATGCTGAACTGAAGGAAATTGTGAATCGAAATTATCAAATAACTAGGGAATGTGAATGAAGATAATGAAGAAAAGGATGAAAATGGATGAGTGAGCATAAAGTTATATTTGAAGAAAGATGCAAATAAGAAAACTCAGAATTCTGTAAAAAAGCAAAAGTCTGAAGAAAAAAAGTTTTGATTTATAATCTTCATAATAATAACATTAACAAGAAATGAATTGAAGTCAATGTTAACTTATACAGAAGTAATTGACTTGAATTTCAGGCTTGATCATGATGCTGAAGATCAGGGTGATGAAGATGTTAACCATGATGATTGAACTCGCAATTTAACCTTGAGAATGTGAAACAGATTGAATACTATTAATAAGATGAAGGGGATTGCGTTGGTTAAGAAGACAATCATCATGATAACTGTGATGAGATTGTTGAGAAAATAATGGTAACATAATTACATTTTTATCAAGTTTCATCTTCTTATTCATTGAAATTCATGAAAGATTCAAAAGTACATGAAAACTACTTGAAAGTTTCATCGACAAAATTAACATTCAACTTTAATGAATATTATAAACGAGGAGGATTTAACTTGATTGTCCTGATTCATTTCATTGTAATTTACTTCCTCATTCAAGAATCTCTCAACTCTTATTAGTCACAATTCTCTTCATGGATCAGAATTAATGTTCACAATTAACTATTCAACTCAACAATCCAATAAACAACAATTTAATTCACCTTGTATTTACGATTACAAGGTTAATACCATGTCAATTGAAATGATGGTAAATTTAATTTATTTTCAATAATATAATTTATTTTTTCATTCTTATTCATTTTTCTTAATCTTTGATGATTATATTTAAATAGCATGAGTTCAATACATGAATAAGTCAATTACATTGTTATTATTATTTGATTATTGTTCAACTTTTTTCATTAATCATGAACCATTAATTTACCTTTTTCCTGTTAATTCAAATCAACAAGCTACGATGTCCATTGATCAGAAGGAAAAAGATGAAGATGACAGAATGAAAAAAATATTCCCAGAGTTTTTTTCAGCTTAAACATGAGTTTCAATGATATCTCATGGAGATATTTGTGAGCCATGCTCAGGAGAGAGACTGGAAGCAAAGACAGAGAGGTAAGAAGAAAGAGAAAGAGAAAATGTTTCTTCCTTGATCAACTGAATTTCCAACTACCGCCATCGTCCCAACCCTGAAACTCACCATGTAAACTCCTCCTTCTCTCAAGAAAAGAAAGAAAGAGAGAGAGTGAGAATGAGAGAGAGAGAGCATGATGTTTATGATGAAAAAGTTTATGTTGCCAATATTTTCCATTCTCAAAGGTCTCAGTTTAGTTCAGTTCAATGAAGAGTGTGATTCAGTTTCATGTACATGAGGTTCAGTCTAATTCGTTATTCCAATTGCAAGCGTATTATGTTAACATTGCAATTGCCCTTTTCCAATAGAAACAATAACATCACAACCAAGTTTTCATCGCCATCATCTTGATTCTCATCATCAAATCCAACCTTTTATCCAATTGATTTCCATTACCATTGATATTGCACCAAATTGCAAAGGAAAATAAAATATTTCCAGTACACTTTTATGTAGAAGTGTTTGTTAGTCTAATATTGAAATTGAATTATTATTATTCAGTGAAAATCATGTTCGAAAATAATAATAATAGTATCATGAAATTATAAGGATCATAAGGAAAAGAAAATATTGCTTTCAGTTCAAGTATCAAATTCTGATCATTTTTGCTCCTTCTTATTTTATTGATGTGACAATAATAAAAAAACTTCTCTGTTTCCTTTTTCCTGTTTATTGACGTGATAAACATCATTACATCATCATCATTACAAGTAACCATCAGCATCAATATCACCACCACCGCATCATCATCATCATCATCCTGAGCTATTGTGCCTCAAGCACCAATTTCAATTCTTCACAATTTATTAGCAATCAGAGAAAATATTAGAAAGTGCTCATTGTTGTGTCTTCTTCATGTCAATTTCATTTCTCTCTTCTCACCCAATTCCATGATAACTCCGTCAGAATTTTTCTACATTATTCATCAACTCGGTGGTAATAACAGTTTCTAGAGAAAAAATTAAAATAAGAAAAACATTAAAGGTAAAAGTTTCCATTACGACAGTTGAACATCCACATCAACACATAATCAAGATGATGATTTATCCTTAATCATTAACCTTCACTAGATTAAGTTTTTTAATCTCAATACAAAGAAACGAAATGATTTCATCATTAATTCAGTTTCACTTTTAAAGTAAACAAAGTTAGATTATCACTGTGATTAAGAATTGATTAAATCCTAGATGATTATTAGTATAATTGTGATTGATTAATTATTAACTTGATTCTATTATCTCATTTGTGGTTCTGTTGGTTCATTGGTTTTCTCAATTTTCATGAGCAGCATCTTAATCATCAATATCCTCACAAATTGAACACAAAGCAAGAAAATAATGAAATCATCACATCCTTATACTGACCTCTCATCATCTTCCTCATCATTCACATCATCATCATTGTCAACGGATGATTATCATCCAATAGCTCAGTTTACCTCATTTCTTGCCTCCCAATTAACTTCGTCACTTTCAACTAACCTTTCAAGTGAAGGTTATCTTGGTGGTGAAACTTTTAACTTGACATCATATTTAACAAGTGAAGCTAATTTATCATCACAATCAACAACAACAACCTCGTCATCTTCATTGATTTCATCCGTGAATCCATCTTACATTGAGTTTCGTGATAGATCTCGTTTCTGGATACAGCGGATTCTTGTTCCATTGGTTATGATCATCGGTGTGATTGGAAATTCAATGACAATAGTTATCATGACTCGACGTCGCATGAGAAGCTCAACAAATTTTTATCTCGCTGCCTTAGCATCAATCGACATGATGTATCTTATATTTTTCTTCATCCTTTCCCTTAAACATTATCCTGATGCAGATCATTCAAACTTTTATTACTATTGGGTTTTCTATCCATTCAGTTTAATGATTGTTGATGGTTGTTCCAACATATCAGTCTGGTTAACGGTGACATTTACCTTTGAAAGGTTCATCGTTGTTACTCATCCGATTCGTGGTAAAGTCATTTGTACCGAGGCTCGAGCCAAGAAGGTCATTCTTGCCGTGTTCATTATCTGTTTTACTTATGTGTTACCAACACCCTTTGAATGGATTATTGTTGAAAAGTTGAGTACAGTGGATAATTCAACACGAATCGATGTTCTTTATTCCGATTTTGGTAAAAATAAAATGTACAAAACAGTGTATTATTGGACAACGTCAGTGCTGTTCACTTTCCTTCCATTAACATTATTGGCCTTTTTCAATGCTTTTCTCATCAGATCAGTTCAACTATCACGAAGAGCGCGCGCTGATATGACCCAGTCAAAGATCACAACTGCCTATTCAACAGTCGCCAAAACTGATCCTGATCCAAGTCCAAGGTTAGGTCGTAATGGTGTTACATCAACAGGCGGTGGTGGTGGGACATCAGGGGGCAAGATTGACCATTCAACTGCCCAAGAGACTAAAATAACGATAATGTTAATCTCAGTTGTGGTGCTTTTTTTGTGTTGCCAATCCCCAACAGCGATCATGTTGATCTATTCATCTGTTCGAGAATTCAAGAGAAACACCAATGAATATCATCTGCATATCGCTCTGAACAATATTTTCAACTTTTTAGTGGCCGTTAACGCCGCAGGAAACTTTGTCCTTTATTCACTGCTCAGTCAAAAGTATCGACGCACATTCGTTCAGCTTTTCTGTCCCTGTATCAAGGGTCGACTTTCTCGATTACAATCTTACCAACAAACACTTTATCCTTCAAATGCAACAACAATTGGGTATTCAACCTCATCAGATAAAAGGTTCAATGAATTTCTATCAGTATCAAGTGACTCAAAGTCTCGAGGATCAGCATCACCTCGAATCTCTCGAGTTGGATTACCTGGAAGTGGCTTTGATTTCGGTCGGCCAAACAGTAATTACAATCTTAACAACACACCGACAACAACAACTCCAGTTAATCATAACAACAATACATTGACAGTCAACAACAACTCTTTCAACAGTGTTAACAATGTAATAAATGTTAACGATATTGAAACAGATAATCCAGACAAAAGTAACACCAATTCTTTAGCACAAAACATGAGATCAGAATCAAATAGTTCAAATATGGTTGAAATTGACCAGAATACAAGGGAAATGAATAGTGTTCCTGGTTGAAATTGATCGATTAAATTTCATCAAACTTGATTGGATAACAATTAAAATTTAATCAAAAAGTGGCTTATGAACCAACAACCGATTAATTTATTATTATTTTATTAATTTATAATCAATGATTTAACTATGAATGGTGAACAAAATGGTTCGAATTGAATCAGCATTCAAACGTTAAGACAGATGATTGAAACTGTTCAATGGCGACTAATGAACGACGAACGGGTTAATCCTCGAATCCATTGAACATTGAAACGCTTTGATTACCAATTGAATCACGTTAATAACTAAATCCTTGTTTTTATTTTCTTCCTTTTCTGTATAATCCTTTTTTTTCATTGAGAAACATAAATAATAACAATTATAATTATAGTAATAATATAATAACGATGATGTGATTATCGATTCTGTTCATTTGTGGTCAATCTTGTTTTCCTTTGAAATACAATCTAATCCTTGTTTCTATTAATATCAAGTTATAATAATTTCGCCTTGAAGATGAAACAAATCACTGTAATAATGATAATTTACAATAATAACAATTAAATTACGATAATGATCATAACTCAATGATATTATGACTAATAAATAATAATGATATATCTTCAATAAGAAAATAATGAACAGAAAATTTGAGTTACTATTAACATTGAGAATCATTTTTGAAACTTTGATCATTTTCATCAACTGATAATCAAAGATTATGTTGATTGTTAAGATGGAACGTCAATCAATTTGGTTTCACTGATTAAATAATTAATTTGCCATAAACGATAATTGTAGTTATTACATGATAATTATTTGATAGTTTGTAGCAAAATTGATTACAATTTATTTGTTTCGTTTTGATTTCATTCATTTATTTGAATTTTTCATGATTTGGGTTATGATTTTAATTGTTTCAATGACAATCAAGAATCTCAATAAAGGTGACAAATTAAGTAAATCATTTTTTCCTGGTTTAAATGTAGACATGAAGTTCAAGCCAAGAAATGAATGTAACTATGAATACATCATGAATTTTTACGTAGGCAATTTAAAATTCACTTTTTTCTGGCATCATTTCAATTCAGTTATCATGAAAATGGCAGAAACAGCATCTTGAGTACGACTTGTGGCCCAGGTTATAATCATATTGTTTTTGCAAATGATTAAAAATCACTAAATATATCTGATTACTGAAGAGACGAGATAAATTTCATGAAGATTCTGAGTGTTTTGTCCTTCATGGGTAAAGTGAAGTCTTTGCTCAACTAATTTCAGTTCAAGGCGAACATCATATTATTCCGAATGTAAATTGACAGAGAAAAAAAAAGAAAAGCAGAAAATAACTGGAAAAGTCTAATAACATGATAGTTAAGATGGTGGGTGATATTCATGATGCTGAACATGCGAAAAGTAAGAATGATTAAGAATCCGTTAATTTTGGACTCATTATTTTCTTCGATATCAATCAAAGATTTTCACTTGATTGTGACCAAATGATATCGGCAAGATTATTATTCCGCTGTTTCTTTTGATATTTGAATCTTTGATCCGACGATTTAACGTCTAAGTGACCATGAAAAGTTAAGAGAAAAAAGAAATCTGAATCGAATCAAAAATGATTAATAAACAATCAATCATCAGGAAGACAATGGATATAAAACAAGACGAACATAAAACTTAACGGTAATC